AGCTTTAACATTATTTGTATTCATGGTTTTAATGACACGAACTATTGATTTAAATAAGTTTTATTGACGATTGCTATTTGGTAAAAGAAGAAACAAAAAACAAACCAAAATAATCTAGGTATATTCTATACGACAAATACATGTATAGCAATCGGGTGGTTGCTGGTCGGCCCAATGTAATAAGGCCAACTTTCAAATGAGGTCCAAACAACTAGAAAAGTTACAATTGATGTTATTAGTGTTCGCAACCCGCTGTCTGTTTGTATTATGCAATAAATAATTGCATAATACAAACAAACTTATTACCAAAATTAATCGTTTTATTACGTTAAATTATTTATTACCAAAATTAATCGTTTATTCTGAAAGCATATTTTTAAGTTAGTTAGTTTTATTTTTTGATTAAGTGCTGACATTAGTTAATTGCTTTGCCAATTTGATCAAATGTGCTAAAATTGATTTTAATTAACTCGATTTTATGTTTAGCTTAGTCTGGGTGATGCATGAATAAGAAATAGCCTGCATTTAAAGTAGTCATCTGTTATAAGTAAAAATATTGTAAGAGTTTAGTGGGGTTGGTCCATCTATTACCTCTGGATTAATTCCCCCGCGAGTAATATATGTCCAAGTATTTTTTTTTTCTATTTGTCCAAACTAACATAACTTATAATTAAAGTTAAATTAATAAGAGTGAGGTCACCAAGATTGTTTGACTGTTATTCCTTTATACTTTAAAACCTTTATACTAAGTAAGTCGTCCGTCTGCCACAGCCAATTTTCTCCGAAACTACTGGTTTTTTTAAATATATGCAACATAAAATATTCCTGTTATCCAAAGACGGCCGTATATCGTAAATAAATTATTTTGAAACATGGCGACCATTGTACGGGGGTAAAGTAAAAAACAAAATTGAAAAAACTTTTCAAACATATTTTATTATAAGAGTATATCTGGAAGTTCTCAAATATATTTTTTGATGTATATGGATAGAAATACTTCCGAAGCTATTTAAAGGAAAGGCTGTAAAAAGTCTGTGGTTTTTTAGTTCAACTCTTTGCACGCAAGTACGACTCGCACTCATTTCGTTATTTTTAATTTAATACAATTACTATTATATGAGAATAGTTTTCAGGGATTTTTTGTATCTAAGCTAGACAAAGAAAAAGAGAAGAAGAGAGTTTCCCTAGGGTACTCAAAGGTTCGTCAAAGCTTATTGAATAAAATTAATATTATAAAGCTGAAGACTTTGTTTGTTTGTTTGAACGCGCTAATCTCAGGAACTACTAGTTCGAATTGAAAAATTATTTTTGTGTTCAATAGACCATTTATCGAGGAAGGCTTTAGGCTATATAATATCACGCTGCAACTATTAGGAGCGGAGAAATAATGGAAATCGCGGACGAGGTCGCTGGCGGCCACTAATTTGAAATAAACATAATCTGTGTGAACATTTCATTTAATTTATACAAACGATTTAGCGAGATTAAGAAGCAAACAAACACATTTTCGCTTTTATATATATACTAGTCAATCAAAGTGTGGCGTCTCATATTATATATTTATATTTTATCTATATATGTTTATTTATTCAAAATCTATTAATTTATTTACATTTAACACAATAAAACTTATTTATTAGCTTATTCTAAAAAACCTTAAAAAATACATGTCTTTATATTTACATTATTAATCAAAACAATAATATTTACAATATATACATTATTCTATTAAATAATATAAAATATTAGGATACTTGAGCTATAAAACGCATTATCCATGCGCAAGTATAGCTTACGCGCTGTGCTAGTACAGCGCGTACTTAAGGCCATCCTATTTTTCGCTTGTTTTTTTGCAACAATACGGATGCCTATGGAAAAACAAGTAATTGAAACGCTTTGTAGATTGCCAGTGTAAGACTAACCACGACGCGAATCGCACATTGTTTGTTCGCTCCGTACGATTGTATGTATTTTTCTGTCCGTGCGCCGATTGTTATTCATTTCACGCGTTCAGAAATTGGAATACCAGAAGGAATTGTTACAGCACAGCTGCCCACAATAGTATTAATTTGTTTACCGAGCAGAAGAGGACTTGTCGTTGCCATCTCTTCAATCCAGAGATGAAACGTAAAACCTTATTTTACAAATGATTGCACAATATAAATTGAAGTAAATCCATGACTTTGGGTTCATATTATCAAGTTTGCTGCCCACTGGTCAGTCTAGCTTAAGAATAATTCGACTTATATTGAATAAGGTGTTGTTCAAATGACGAATGAGAGTGAACTGGGCCTTGTTCAGTCATTCGATGTTTGAAAGATTTAATACCGCTTCAAGTAACAAAACCTCAAAAAAGTTTCCACATCATTTAACCACTCGAGTTTTCCTAAACATGCTCGTAGTGTTGTCCATAAAGTATATCGATGAATTATAACCGGAGTTGTTCCATTGTGAGTCGCGTCACGCGCTCGGGACCAAGCGGGTAAAAAGACCGCTTCGCTGATGCTAATGGAATGCATAATTCTGTATTGAGCTCCCTTTACAATGCCGTAGTTTTAGTACGCTGTTATCGCGTTCCACGCTTTTATAAGACGGAATTTGCGGCTAGGTAGACAACTTCCGTAAGTGCAAAAGAAAATAAAATTAAAGAGTTGTAACCGAGGCGGCACGACGTAACAATAGCGATCTTATAGCCCTTTACACCCTTTTTCACTAACCTTTAGACATTGCTTAATGTCGTTAAATATCTTCTAGTGAAATGTATTTTTAAGTTTAGTGTAAACGTGCATTAAACGTTTAAATAATTAGTTAAAAATAAAGTCTTTTCAAAGCAAATATATATTGAATATAAATGTTTGACACCAAAAATAGAGTTTGAGATAATATACACAATTTTAATCTCACCAAAGCAAAATACTCGACCGAGTCACTTGGTAGAGATCTATTCAAGTTCGAAGTGTTACACCTTCTGCAAGTGATTTACACCAGTATAAGTTGTGTGAAAATTGAAACATCTATGGCGAAAATCAATTTGCTTCCTATGTATCTTAAATGTGATTGAACAAGTTAAAAAAAAATGTTTATTAGGTTTAAAAGTGATTATATTAACTTCTTCTTAGATTATATATTTTAGTATTTTATTTATTTGTTAGTTATGATGATAAATGAATCAATATGAAAAGTGTTTTTCTGTTTTTGTTAAAGAAATGGTTATTATTATTCTAATATGTATATTCTAAAATTAAGAAACTATTTAAGAATTTCACGTAGGTATGAAAATAAAGTTTAGAATTTAATAAAAACCTATTTTTGTTGTTTAGTATTCATGTGATAAAACTCAGAGCGGTTGGCACGGCTCGACGTTTTTGAATAGTGGCCGAGTACTGTGACCGAATGGGCTTTACTTGAAATCGTATATTTGCGCTTAGTGCTGTTTCTGGCATGCCACGATACATTTAATACGTTCAATTAGCTTTTATGGCATTATAAATCCTGTAACTTTGTAATCATAATAAGGATGATGACTAATTTGTGTTTGTCTGTCCGTGTTTGTTTTTTGGCGTAATCAATAAATTACGGCGATACGTTGAGTTGAGATGTTGCATGATGTCCTTTGCACATTTTCTACATAGTTGTGATGTAGCGGTCCCTCACTCCTCGACTTTAATCCGTAAATTGATTTTTTATTCGTGTATCATCCCTACTTGCTAGTGATGCGACTCGATTCCTGTTTTTACTTGAGTCACTCGAGCGAATTTTTCAGAATCGTACTCGAGTTAAAACAATCAATCGAGTTATCGAGTCAACTGAGCTGATCATCTCGCCACTAGACGTCACTTTTCGCTACTCTTATCTATGCCGCTTAGTTTTTTATTTTCCTGATAACATAAACAATTAATATGCCAAAGCTCTTTCATTGTGTATTTTATTTATATTATGTATGTATTTGTTTAAAATTACTAAGAGAAATCAAGTAGCACGTTCAATTTTTTTTACTCGAGTCACTAGAAAACTCACTTATGATTTATGACTCGAGTGAAAAAAAAAAAAGGTAGTTAATTGGCTCGAGTGACTCGAGTCACAAAATCCTACTCGAGTCGCATCACTACTACTTTTTCCTTATTCCAATTAATTTATTTGTGTTTAAGGTAATATGAATTCTTCTTTCATAATGCTGAATCTAGTGACGTCTTAATTTTTTTTACTTATGATGATTTTATACAAATCATCTTTCACACAATCTTCCCATTTTTCTTTCGGTTTTCTCTGATATGATAAATTGTCCTTTCTGATCACTCATTTATAATAGACATATTGCTTTTTAATTTTTCTGGTACGGGATACTAAAAATAGTTATAGTATTGTTACATAAAAGTAAAATATCGGGACAGTGCGTAAAAGAAAAATCATCAAACAAATTAATAGTATATGTCAATCATTGGACAAGGACAGATGATAAAATAATAATTGTGATTAGTTGTAGTTAGCATTTCCGGTCTGCAACGCGAAAACTAAGTAACTTTAGCAAGGGCTGGTTTACTATCTCGGCCTCCTTCGTGCTTCGGAAAACACAGTGACGGACAGAAACAAAAGTTAAGACGTTGGTCCCGGCAGCATCTGCAGTCGTTCGCACCTAACATTCGACATGGCCCGTCTTGGCACCTATATCAAACGTTTGATTCGATTTCATCCATATTACCTTTTTATACTTGCGTATGTTTCAGATTTTTACAATACAAGTGCTTAATTAATTTGGAATCTGAGCAATGCATGTAATATTGTCTTGATATAATTTATCTGGTACAAGATAGATATTTGTTGATTTGTTTATTTAATATTAACCACTATGAGATATTTGTTTTTTTAATTGCTGAATTTTATATATAACTATAATGTTATACAAAACAAAAAATAGCTTGACTATTTTATGAAAACAAAAATATCGACATATAAGGAAACTATCGACATGACAGCTTAGAGAGGAACTTCCCTAATTGCTATTACGCTTTGATTTCCACACCACTGAACGGTGAGCTTAAAGTTAAAAGGCCGCGGTGATCAGCTTTGCTCTCAAAGAACTAATAAAGTTGGAAAGATTTATTCGCTTAGTCATGTAATGAGAGAAATACAATTACGAGTATTAAAATGTATACTATGTTTCGTCCGAAATTAAATTCAATGCAGTATTCAGTGAATGCATCATTAATTAGTTTGCTTTTATTAAAGTGTTGATAACTTTAAAAGAAAATATCTCAGAGAAAAGTACGCTTATGCTGTGGTTGGTGGCTGCTATTCTTTCTAAGTAAGATATGGAAATTTAAGTCAGCAATAACTTACAACTGGTGCATCTTATTTATATTATAAAATAAATTGGCCATCCTTATACTCGGGAAGCTTTAATATAAATTTGTTGAATAAAGCTACTTGAAATAACGCCGTACTCATTTTGTATTTTATATGGCACTAAGAATAAGGAAATTGTTTCTTACAATGATGAATTTGTATAGAACTTTACATTCTAAAACGGATGTAGATCAAAGAATATAGAAGAAAGCACACATATTGCTCTAGAGAAGATTTATATATTTTTTTAAGTCGAACAGTTTTATTTTTTAGGAAAAACGGAAACCTTTTAGCTCTCGTTCTGTCGCAACTTATTTTTTAACTTATATCTATTATATTCTTCAAAGCTTTCGAGCTTTAGAAGAGCTTTTGACTTATTTTACAAATATCATGTAACATTATAAGGAAAATCAGAACATTAAATGAAATATTTGGAAGTTATATCGTGGGATACATGTCAAATGAGAATTTCATTTTTTTTAATTTTAAAATTTTTCTTATATTATGAAAAAGGAAATATATGTTAATTTGTTTATCTGCATTGAATAGGTACATAAATTACTGAAGCGATTTTAAAAATTCTTTCATTACTAAAAAAGTGGTAACACCTTTGCGAAAATTTCTTAACTTTCGCAATAGCACATTAAGCACCCTTTAGTAAAAATGTAATCCATTATTAGTCCATTACAAAAGTACTCAATGAAAATGAGCTGGATAAACAAGCAGTAAAAATCAACATAACTCTGGAAGCGTTTGCAGTCAGCGTAACCTTTATGTTGAATAATAACGTTAATGTTCGGTACATTATTAACCTCTTTTCCAAGCCAAGCCGTTTAACCCGCGTGCGCTTCCCATTTTTTCGCGTCATAATAAAAATCTATCTCCACTTATCACAGTCTCACCTTGCTTGCACGCGAATCGCTACGTAAAATATGCTTCTGAGTAACGACTGAGTTTTATTAATTCAAAATTTTTATTGCCCTTCCATTAAAAAGTTTTTCTTCACATTTAAATAATTTATTTCATTTTCGTATAAAGAACGCACTGTGTTAAAATTTATGAAATGAATTCTTCGCTATAACAAACTTGAGAAGAAAATTCTGATGTTAATATACATCTATAATATAAATCTTTCAAAGAGACCATAAAAATAAATTTGAATATTTGGTTATATTATTAATGTTAATTTTTAAGTTAATTTTGATAAAAGCTATAACATTTTAGGGATTAAATCATTAAAGACTGTGACATAGTTCTTTTTTCTACTAACGGAACATCGTTATCAATACTCTTTATGTTAGGAAATGCACGATAACAACCAAAGCCTCTTACCTCGCTCGCTGTTTGCCTTTATTTCTGTCCTTTCAGACATGAGGAGAACTCTGTATTATTTGGGAGTTAGTGTACTCTATGTACACTAAAGGAGTGTTAGTGTGAGTGAGTTAAATATTGTAATTTTACGATAATGATGAATTCGTAATCATAAAAATATACCATAAACCCAAAACACGCAATTGCACACTATACACACACACACACACTCAATATGAACTGGCATGTGTTTAAAAAAATATATCTATATTCAAGAGTATATTTTATGGAGAAATCGCATTTCCAAATAATTATCAGGGATAACTACTACTTCTGTATTTTTTAATGTGTTTAATAATTTTGGGATAAGATAAAAATCCACTTGTGATTGCTTTTTTTATATAGAAATAAATTATTTCTGTTTCAATATTTATTTATGATGTCACATTTATTCCCTATTATGAATTTAAACAAACATTATCTTACCTGTAACCATTTCACCCTGGTGATATTCTCCTCGGTGACAGTGAGTGCTCGTCGTTCCCCCAACTTGTATGATTCATCGTAGTACATATATTCGGTAAAGGTTAGTCCGCTTGTAGTGTACTGTTGGGTGAAATATATAGATATTGTGCCATTCACTATGTCGTGCTGTATGATCCATTGGCATTTTATCGGTACGGGAAAAGGGTTGGGGAAGTTCGGCGTTTGGATGACACCCGCCGGACCTTTTAGGTAGCCACCGCATGGTTGGGGGCCTTGATGTTCGTCTTCTTGGGCGAAGACGTGCTCGAGCACAAAACTTATAAGTGTGATGCTGAGTAACCGGTGCATGGTTAACCTGGAACAATAGAAAAAGGAGAATTATTGTTTTTATTTGTCTGATTTTTACGTTTACTATGTTACTAGTTGTCTTAGAAATTACAAAAATACTTGAAAATCTAATTATTTCAGTCATCTCAGATTCAGCAAATAGAGTGCATTCCCTGTGTAGCATCGTGAGTAATTATTTAAATAATCCTGGCAAATGAGTGACTGTATTTGCTTTTGATTTGGTTACATAAAATATATCAAACTAGCTTTCTGCCAGCGGCTTCATTTGAGTGGTACTGTATTAGTCGTATAAAATTTCTTCATGAATCACTTTATCCGTCAATACTTAATTAAAATTCGCTGTGTAATTTAAAGGATCTTAGCGTATAGACAGAGGAAAGAATCTTTGTTTTTAATAATATAGCGCTTATATACCAATTATATACTTAGCTCCTTAGAGCATGCAATATTATAATGTTGTGATAATTGTTTTATAAAATAAAATAACTTATATGAATGATAAAAATAAGCCACTGCATACGAAATATTAAAAAGGTGAAATAAATCAATACAATGTCAACATAAAATTTTATTACAATACATGTCCACTGTTATTGAAAACTCGAGTGATACAAAACCGACTGAAATACATTTCAGTAACGGTCTTATTATTTCCCTGCTGGGCAATCGTCCGCAAGACTAAGATTGAAACCTTTTTTTAGTACTCTGGTTTTTAAAATAGAAGATTTTCTTATATGACAATCTCTTATTTGAGAAATTGTAAAATATTGTTAAAGTTTATCAAATAATAAAATACGGGTAGTTGCAGTACGATACTGACCAGCAATCTAACCGTGGGCTGGCAGCAATGTTTAATCCGTGCAGCGAGCGGGACATCACTATTGTTCCTGATAGCGCTGTCCCGCTGCATGCTGAAGGGATTAAACATTGCTTTATGCGTTGATGGGGATGACCCCCCAGGGTTTGGGAGCGGTTAGAAAGAATTATAAACAAGGGTTTAGAAAAAAGTGTGGGCTCGGAGGTGAGCGGTATTTTTTAGCGCGATAAATTTTTTTACCACCACAAGCGATTGTTTGTCGATCGATGTGTAGAGAAATCGAAAACTGTTACATTACTTTCTTTTTTACCGAAAATAATTTTGTATTTGATTAACCGAAAACCAAACGAAAAAAAGTTTCTGTAGTTAGAGTTTCTTATCGACTGGTAAATATTATCAACCAGATTTTCGAGCCCTGGTGCTGACCGTCATAAAACCCATAGTGGACTGTTTCGTCATCAGTCCTGCTCTAATTTTTGTATTTTGAATGCCATAGAATAGGATTATACAGTGAAGAGAACGAAACATCGAAAATTATTTTATTATGTTACATGTAAACAAATCATTTAGATATTTTTTTCAAATATACTGATTTTTTTAAGTCTTGAATACACGTGAAGTATTCTTAATATTAAAGTTAAAATATTATTTTTATACGTAACATGCTAGTAAGAGGCTTTCAGTTGCGTGCATAAATATTACTAAAGCAAATGAGCATTTAAAGAGCACTTATAGAGTTACAGCAGTTTTCAAGTTAAAATGCTTTTAAAATTTTTGAATTAAATGATTTCATATTTTTTTTCAGATTTCATATGTTACGCACTGATAATGGTACATATTAATTTATTTCTGTAAGAAAATTAATTTTTAATAGTTAAAACATTTTATATATTGCTGTGTATACTAACTGTGTAGCAGAAGTCACATAATATTTTAATTATTAAATAAATGACACAGACCTCAACAAATCTAAAAATAATCGTATAACTACAAAGGTGACACCAAGAATTTATTTGTTAACCGTCTTAATTTTGCCTCGTTTTCTCTTTTGTCTTTAGTTCTAGCCCTAAAAACAAAAACATTAAAGAGACCAGCGAAATATTTTGACAATTAAAACGAATGACTCCGTGACGTTCCACGTTTAAAACAATCTTCCAAACGAAGAGAGTTCATAATTTCTCGACAAAGCATCTGTTATAATCGCTGAAGCGTAACGGTCCGATTATAGAGTTATGGAAGCGATCAAGGAAACAAAACGAAGTCATTTCTTTGATTTCCTAACATTATTATTGTTTGTCCGACACTGAATAGGCAGTCAATATTTCAGCTTTTATTGAGTGCAATTTTGTTGTCAGCCAATCGTATATTTAAGTCTAGTAATCATTTAATAATAGGTAATATTTTTCATGTTATAGATAAAGATAATTAAACATATGTACGCGAGACACGTCCGTTTTGGCACGAGTAACGAGACTGTCTTATTTCTCAAACTCTACTTTCACTGAAGTAAGCGCATTTCCATCTATGTTCAGCCAATTAATTTATCCTTTAATCTTGTGAACTAAGTATCTGAGCGCTTAGTTTTTTGACGTCCACCGTCGATCGCGGAATGGAATCCGGTACAGCGCCCCTAGCGGTAACTACCAAGAACTACAAATCTTCATACAAATTCTTAACGCGCTCACCAGTGAATGCGTTGACGTAAAACCTACACCAACCACTCTGAAAGCGAAAACATGGTTGAAAAGTATATCTGGGAACACGGAAGTGCAACCATCAAGTCGAGTTGATCACGCAAAACAAATAATAGATATTAAAACGAAATCTATTTTATAATATCGCTTTATGCTTAGTTTGTTTTTTAAAATACCCATTTATAGGACTATTTAAATTATTTAACATATTATGTTGACTGAGTATTAATTTAAGACAGTGTCTGGAAAGCTTTGTTAAATTTATCAACTTGGTTTACATTCGATTTCGCAACTCTTTTTGGCAGAAGAACTGTGTGTGTATATTTGTACATTTAATAGTTATGATGGGATAAACTCTTTGACTGTATATTGCGTGATGTCAGTTGGTGTTGAGCTCTAGGCTTAAGCCTATGAATCATAGTAAGCCATTTTTTTTCATTAGCTTTGGTTGTCGATAGATCTCGGTTGCTAGTATTTTAATATTAGGTTTTTCAAATGGAAAATTTTAAGTATTTTTAAAACCCTTTGTATATGTTGAAAAATGGTTGGTAAAGTTTAAAAACATTTTCATTTATAAATAAAAATATCAAAACTATAAACGATTTATACATATATCAGAATTTTAACTAATAGGTAGTTTTTAACTTTCTTTGTTTGTTAATTTGTAGGGAGAAATGATTGGAAATATTGATCCTATGATGAAATTTTATCACCAACAACCAAGAGTATAACTTTTGTGAGTGAAATCGCGAGAAAATAACTAGTTTTAAATATTAAGACAACACTTTAAGCGGTAACATTATAATTCTTATGACCGGTCTACACTATTGTAATTGCTTTATTAGGGATGATGCCTAGGTAAAAGTAATATATCAATCAGGTAACAGAAAAAAAATATTAGATTTTTTTTTGTTTCCACTTAACAAGAAATGGCTGAGATAATAATAAATTAAACAAACATATTGCGACATTTCAACTCAAGGTATCGCCGTTATATGTTAAAAACGCAAAAATTAAATATACGTGCTTAATATTAAAAAAATATTTTTATTTTAATATATATTATATTAATATTCTTCAATACTGTAATTGACGGATAGACAACAAAATTATTTACCATCCCTAATAGGCATAGTGAGGATCGCGACGTGCCTAAGCTAACATTTATATTGATTTGATAAGATTTGATTTTAGAATATTTAAGTTTCATTAAGCGTGGTGCTCTAGTCTTGACGCACTGAAAGTTATCCAAGCACGTATGTTGGAATAACAAAACATACGTACTCTGAGACGTGTTGGTATTACTGATTTAAGAAGGTATGATTACCATATTGTTTTAAATAGTATTTCGTGTGATGTTTTCAAAGTATTTAAAAAAATACAACTGAAATAAATGTCGCTGGATGGTGTACTACGTTCGACTTATTTCAGTCAATTTCAAGAATTACTTTAGATCATTTTGACTTCACAAAACGGTGAACAGTATAATATATGTTCTTCTACAAGTAACAAAATGAAAAGTTCGTTTTGGTCGTTTATAAATAAAATAATTTTAAAAATTCAGGTAAGAAACATCGCTATTTTCTCGCTGTAACCCTTATGAGGTAGACAGATAAAGATAGAGAAACACGAAGAAAAAAGATACGTTTATTACATCAAAAAACAGTTTTTTTTTTTTAATTTATCACACAATATAAGTTATGAAACTTTTTGTTTTTCTTTTTCTGATTTGTGGGAAGAGGTCAAAGTCAATATATTCTCATTTTAACATCCATAATCCAAACTTGGCCAGTACGGTGGGGCATGGGCCATTTTCCCTATTCTAGTCGAATAAAGGGGACAAATCTATTCGAATGACGATGACATTCAGTCATCACAACACTACTTGCGTTAAGTGGCAAGTCACTGACGCATTCCCTTTTCCTTCTGTCCCAGGTTATCAAAAGACGCATTTTTATTCATAACATAACATTGTTATTCATGACATAATATTTCCAAACGTAATTCTGTGAAACGCAAAAGCATCTCATCATGATCACCTTAGTTTTTCAAAGAAGCGAGTTCACTATCCCTTGGGGCGACGTTGGAGAAGCGAGGAAAGCTATGATAGCTTTATGCAAAGACTTATTCCAAACAAAGAGATTTGAAAATCAAGACGAAGGTCGCATACGAAGCGGCTTATATTTACACGCATTAAACAAACGTCGTATATAATACGAGACGGATTTCGAATGAAAATGTTTAAATCTTTTATTTACTGTTCAGTGAAACAGATGAGTTCGAGACGTATTTTAAATTGTCCCAGGCATGACATGTTTAAGTAAAGACAAACTTGTTACATATGTACATATAAAATTATTGATTTAAGGTTCAATTTGGCACATAATTTAGAGCGTAAGTATTTGATAAATTTTGTAATCATATTGCTATTTATTTCATACTATAAACATCTTTGTCCTGACATACTGATTGACTGACTGACAGACAAC